CTTCATCTGTCTTCCCATCCTAAGTTAATCTATTAACTCTAGGTATTCTTATTGTAAGCTGTAACTATGTATCATCGTCTAAATAAACCTTTATTGCTCATGTAAGACAAGGATCTCTATAACCTAGCGTTCACGTAACTTCATTGTCAACCCCTGTTAGGCAACCCTTTCCGTGCTTTCGCTTTACCGCTACACGCATGAAATTCTAACAACATCTGATGTATACACTACATTGGTGTGTATGTCCGATGCGCGAGCGTTAACATTTTCCCAACGAAACGGTGATTACTTAGTCAATCTTTTGTCTAATATGTGTTTCAGTTTCGCTGAGATAACTGCACGGAAGATAGCTGAATCAATTCAGTCACCGAGATGCTTTTACTAGCGATGAGTGATTTCTTGCGATGTTAAGAAAAAGATTGATAAATGCAAGATTCATTAAAACAGTTTAACAAGTTACTCTTACGAGAAGTTCAAGGGAAGAAAAGATGATTAGATCATGAATGCGGCTGCTTTATATGAAGTTGACCGGCTGGTGACTTTTTGCAGCTGCAAATGAATCAGACTAAAATTAATAATGAAAAGAGGGAAAAAGAAAAAAAGTGGAAGATGTTGGAAAGAGGAAAAGGGGTTGAGGATATGGAATGAAAACTACGATGTCAGCATTGAGTTGCAACAAAATGTCTACACCATCTTTCTAACCATTTTGTCTTGTTGCCCTGGCAGTATATTATATAAGCACAACGGAGAATTGGCGGCGCTCATGGCGCAGTCGGATAAGCGGCCCACCGCAATGCGGAATGATGACACGTTCGACTCATGTGTGTCGCACAAAGTTTTGCCATTTTTCTTTTAGTAATTACTTAGTCAATCTTTTGTCTAATCTGTCTACAACATTCCATCCTTGTAATTTTTATTATTTTAATGAGTTATTTTTGAATGTTCAATTTCAACCTCAGTTCTAGTGGATGGAATCAAGAATATTTGTGNACTTGCCATTTTTGTTTTAGTAATTAATTAGTCAATCTTTTGTTCAAAATGTCTACACCATCTTTCTAACCATTATGTCCACTTGTCCTGGAAGTATATTATATAAACACAACATGTACCGAGTGGCACGCATGGTATAGTCGGGTAAGCGAGTGGAGCTTTGAATAAGGATGACACGCTCGACTCATGTGTGCCGCATAGTGTTTTGCTATTATTGTTTTAGTAATTACTTAGTCAATCTTTTGTCTAATATGTCTACAACCTTCCATCCTTGTAATTTTTATTATTTTAATGAGTTATTTTTGAATGTTCAATTTCAACCTCAGTTCTAGTGGATGGAATCAAGAATATTTGTGNATTTTTGAATGTTCAATTTCAACCTCAGTTCTAGTGGATGGAATCAAGAATATTTGTGAGAAAAAGAGTTTATTTCTGATTCATGTATATGTAATGACAATAAGCAAGAGAGGAGTATACTTGCCATTTTTGTTTTAGTAATTAATTAGTCAATCTTTTGTTCAAAATGTCTACAC